TTTTTTTTTTTTAATTAAAAAAAGTAAAACAGAAAAAAAGGATAGAAATGATACAGAATTTCAAGCCTTCACAGGTTGTAATTCTCTGTTGAATCACAGAGCAAAGTCCTTTCTAGAGTAATTCTCTTATTTACTTTGTAATTGTTTCGTTTTGTTTGAAACAAGTCTCACTGCTCTACAGTTCAGGCTGGCCTTGAACTCATTTTGTAGCCCAGGCTGGCCTCAAACTTTCAACAATTCTCCTGCCTTGGCTTCCCAAGTGCTGGGATTACAAACCTGCACACCAAACTTGGCTACTTTGTGCTTTTAATTTTAAATTGTTTTGGGGTGTTTTTTTTTTTCACCTGTCTTGTAGCTTTTTTTTATCGTGCTAGACCAAGCCTACATTCTTCAAAGACATGTGTCATATTTCTTATTGATTTCATGCACAAAAGAGGACTGAAATAAAGAACTACAACTATAATGCTCTTGTACATTACCCAGTGATGAATAACTTATATTTGAGTCAGCATATTTCAAAAATAGTATTGTTTTCTTATTTGTCTTTCTAATTTTCTCCTTCTGGCATTTTTCTTTTACTACTAGAAATACAGTTAAAATTTTTAGAATTAACTTTAGAGATTGCATATGCTTTTAAAATTTCTGAGATGAACAATCCATCAATTATGCATTCACTGAGTTACATAAAAACTTTGGAAACATTATATTACTGTGTCTATGCTTGTACAAATGGAACAGAGCAATATTAACAAGATAGTATCATTATTTTTAAATATCTGTGTGTTGAGAGTCTCAAGATAACCCTATGTGTGGTGATGTACTAGGTGGACTCACGAGATTCAGTGTGTACTCACACTCAGGTCATGATTTATTACATCAGAAAGATATAAAGCAAAATCAGGAAAGAGAAAAAGGTGCATCAGATAATGTGTGCAGAATCTGGGGGCAAGTTTCCAGCACTCCTTTCTAAAGGCGCACTGGACACATTTCATGCCTCGTGCCTCCAGCAAGTTGTGACAATGTACCTGAAGTATTGTCTCACAGGGAAGCTCATTAATCCCCAAAGTTTAAATGAGAGCTGGTTACATAGCTGTGTTCTGTCTAACATGTACCCAGCTTCCAGACTCTTAGAAAGAAGACGAGTACTCAGCATAACCACACTATCTGCCCAAATAGTTTAAACACAGGGATCCGTGTTTATCAAGGAATGACTGGAAACCCTTTCTCCTGCTAAAGCACCAAATGCCAGCCAGGACCCTGCCATGAGGAAAGCTTTCTAAGAACAAGTCTTACACCTGCCTTGTTAGCTCTGCTCTGCACAATCTCATTTCAGGTGGACTTAAGCCTTTTAAGTGTTTTAAAAAGTCAAGCAAGAGGAGTTACTGGGCTATAGAAGAAAACTCAACTAGCTGTAGTCAGGGGAGTCAAGGGAAGCTTCACCTAAAAAGACAGTGTTTAAATTTGATTTGGAAGAAGTGTGTAAGTTTGGGAGTTGAGAGGGGGGCCTTCATCTGTGCAAATGCAGCTATGTTCATTGTCAGTAGGGGATTCTTGAGAAATTGTTTATGATGGGAGCACCAAACCTGATGGGAAGATAAGGGAGGAATAGTGAGCAAAAGCTGGAAGTGTTTTATGGTTGGGTGGGTCGTGATGGCTCATTAAAAGACCCAGGAGCCTTAAGATTTCCTGCAGAGTTTGAATAAAATATGACAGCTAGACTCCACTCGAAATCCTTAATCCTCAAGACAAAAGGTTTTCTAAGATTTATATCTCGTGGCTACCTAAACACAACTCAGTAATGCTATCAGTCCAAACCCCAGAGTCAACTGGGGAGGTCAGTTCATTATTGGGCATAACCAAGGGCATAAATATTTTCATAGAATTTCCTATTCGGCTCTGCAATAAATTGAGTTGCCAAGCCATATGGTAGTCTACCTGAGCCAAATATTTTCATCTATTTTCAGATGACTCTAGCCAGCAAATTTGTTTGCAGGTAAGAATCTGAATAGTTCTACAGAGGATTCACAGTGATGGTTTTGTGCACATTTAAAGTGCAGAAATTCGTGTCCAGATGTTATAGTGGTCATTGATTCTAATTATAGCAGTTGTATGTCAATTTATACAGTTCTTTTTGGTAGTTTGCCAAGCATATATGATTTGTAGGGTTTATTTGCAGTGGTTGATAAATGGGTTTAAACTGTTGCAATGCATAATTATGGTTAAATGTGCAATATTTAAATAAAAATAATTAGAAAATGACATAAAATAAGTATGTCTTTTTCTGCACAACTTTCTTTCCTTTTGCTTTATTGTTTTATAAAACATGTGCTGCAAAAGAGATTTCACGCTTTACCAAAAAAATAACATGAAGTTCTTCGTGAGTTCCTTTGTTGCCTCTCAAATTAATTAAATGTTATGGTGTTGCATAATGTGGAAAAGTAATGAATTCTCCAGAAAAAATTTTATCTGCTATTTTAATCAAGTAGAATATTTTAAGAATGTGTTAAGATCAGTTTATATGCTGTGGGTATATATATGCATATGTTTTAAAGCTTGCTTTCTAATATCCAAATGTAAGTTGTTAAATATACTTTATGTTTCCATGAGCTGGCTGAATAATGCTTAAAACCAAATATGCTGGAGAAAATTATCTTTGAAGGTTTTCTGTTAATAGTTTAATTAACATACAGTAGGCAAAAAGCAAACAATCTGTTCAACCAGACTATTCAGAGATTCCCTCCTGTTGCTTTTGTTTGCACTATAGTTGGGAAGAGAGAAATGTGATCCATCTAGTCCTTCGTCTTCCTTCTAAATGTTATGTTTTGGTGCCGATCTGAAGAATAATTTAAAAGATTTTTGAGTTTGCTAGCCTATGAAATGTGGAACAGTAATGTACAATCTAGAATAACCAGGTTATGGTTTATCCAAACTTTATTTCTATAGAACACTCATTTTGATTTGTTTTATCTTGCCCCAGAATCATTTAAAAATGGGATCAGACTCTAAGTAAATGTCATCCTGCAGTCTTGATGAACCATCAAGACTGAGTTATGAACGTATGGCCACATTTCCTTTGTGTGTCAGTGTAAAGCCCTGCTTATTCATGACATAATCACTGTGGTGTAATTTGGAGCGAGCCACACCCCCTGTGCGAGCACATGCACATCTCTTGAGTTGGTCTAAGTTTTGTGCTAGGAGGTCTTATCTGATATAAAATTTTACAACTTACCTCTGTTGAAGCCACCTTATATATATTTTGATAATGATGGAGAATATATAAATAAAGGAAATAAAATTACTTTATGTAGCTTTGCCTAACATCATAGGTCTTACAGTCCGACACATTCTTAGGGCAAGCTGTCTACTTTTGCAGGTAAGATATTTTCATTTCCATTTAAAATATGGGCTAACCAAACTGCAGAGACTTTTATGTATTACACTGGTTCTACCACCAGTGAGCCTAAACAGAAAAATTCCAGGCCAAGTCTTCTGAATCTTTGAGTACCAGCTGTGCCTAACCCTGTTTTCTGATTCAAAGAGACTGTTAGCAGTTGACTCATTCATTCCCACATTTCCTCAGTCAGCGAACATACTAGTATTGCTCGGTGGCAGGAGGAGATAAGAGTATTGAAATATTGTCTAGAGTAATGACGACGGTACTGATTGGGACTGTGGGACCACATATGACCTTTTTGTTCATGAGTTTATTTTGACCTACAGTTCAATGAACTGAGCCTAATGCTGCATTTCTCTGACTTTGTCCTGTAGACGTTTGGTTACATGTGTTTCTCTGGTCCTTTTCAAGGTAGATGTTTTTCTCAGAACTCCATCCACTAAGGTAGCAGGCTCAAGGGGACCATTTAGGCTCATTACTGTCCTCTCTGGGTAGAATTGTTAATACCTTTGTGAGTTGAAAAGAATATATTTTAGGCTGTTACACAGTGGTTAGTAGCAGTATGCTCATTAGTTCCTGTAATTTTAAGTAGCTGATACAATGGATGAGAAGCTCCTACAAACACATTTTGATTTTTTAGAATGTTCTTGTGTTGAGGGGATATCACAGTCATAATCAAATCACCACTCTTTTAGTCTTTTTGGGATCCATTTCTGGCCAGCTGTAAAGTCAATAAAGTCTTCTTTGGGTGAAAGTCGGGTAGAGGAAAGCTGTTCTTGCTCAGAAACTGAATTTTTAATCCTCGAGGTATATCTTGCCCTGCTGACCTGCTGAAATGAAAGCCTGGGAGTCATGATTGTCTAATTACCCCCCTTAGTGGCAGGATGAGCCGGGTCAGCAGGACCAGTCCCTGAAGACAGCTTTAAAATACTGCAGTGATTTGATCACCTTGCTGTCCTCTCCATTTCCATAAGTGCCTGTCACTGTTTTCCTTTACCACCCTGACAAGCTCTCAAGGTGAGAACCGCACAAATGACGAGACTGTTTGTGATGACTCCTTGGGGTACTGCTTATTAGATGAGTTAGGCAGTGAACCAAGACTGGCTTTTAAGCTACCAGGCAGGTTAGCACATTTACAGGAAGATAATCCCATGTGTGATTTAACTAACCTATGTCTTAGAGGCCCAGAATAATTCTTGTGATGGGAATATAGGCTAACACTGTAAAAATGTCTGATCTGTGTTGTCAGCTGAGCTGAAGATCCTTTGTTTTGTTTCCATTGTTTGGATCCTAGCTTACTCTATCACAACAGTTAGAGAATGTGTATGAGGTGTGTGTGCACAGGGGTAAGGGATGGGAAGAAAAGTACGTTGCTACAGGTGTGGCACCTGTGTGATCAACACACTAACCATCATCACAATTTTAGTGTATTCTGTAATTGCATTCTACTCAGAAATGCTCCTAGAGACTCAAAATACTACACTTAAGCTCATTTCACTGTGGTAAGTGAGTTTTCTATGCTCATGACTGGCAGTTACTTTCTCTGTGATAGAAATGATGCCTATGATTCATCTCAAGAGGTAACATACTTTTATTTCTTTTGCAGATTGGAGGTATGAAGTGGCTCAGGCTTTCCCTCCAACAGAAGAGGTGGAAGTGGATTCACACATGTACAGCCACAGATGGAAAAGGAGTTTGGAGGCTCTCAAGGCAGTGGACTCAAATCGAGCCAGCTTGGGCCAAGACTCTCCAGATCCCAGAGGCTTCACTGACCTGGTTCTGGATGATGGGCAAGACAACGCCACCCAGATTGAGGTATATAAACCATCTGGGTAATGGAAAGGGGTTAAGAATAGATTCTTTATAAGGTTTCTAAGCTCTAGGCTCTCAATCTAGACCTTTCAAATGTTTTCTTTAAAAAATGAGTCATTCATTAATATAATAGCTAAGCCATTTAATCATCTACTAATTTATTTACTTATCACACAAGCACTGTTTTGGTGGTGTGGTGACAGTAAGAGCCAGCTTAGCACTTGCTCTGAAGGAAATCATTGTGTCATGGTTTGTAACTACCATCACCATGTTATCCCTTTAATGAATGTCAGGTGCAGAAGAGTACACGGTAGTGTGACATGTAGGACAGCATGACCAGTCTTGCCTGGAACTGGAAATTGGGGTGTCAACAAAGAGATTTTGTGCAGGACTAGACACTTAGGAAGGCTTAGAAGACTGAGGAAAGTTCTTTGCACTGATAACCTGGAAAGAGAAAAGGACATTCCTGAGAGAGTGTGTGGAGTTTCCACTTTGAGTTCTCTAGAGTGAAATGGCACAGCAGGTTGAAGAGTATTATAAAGTGAAGAGCGACTCTAGTCCTCCCAAGGCCGTCAGTGTTTCCTAGGAGGCAGGATTTCCAGAAAAAAAGCAGTTTTGGACAAACTGGGATGGTTGCTCAATCCTCAACTCTTAAGTTTTCCTGTTATGGTTGGAGCTATGAAGTGGAAGAGAACAGGGTGGTTGGAAAGCAGTTTGGTGAGCATAATATTTGTAAAGGGCACATTTCAGGCAAATTTTAAGGTTGCTGAGAGACCTCTATGGTGGTATTGCATTTCTTCAGTTTCCATAGTCTTTAACATTGCACATCATAAAATACGATCTTGCTTAGAAGTTGTGGAAATAAGCAATGACCACCAAAGTGAGAATAAATAAAGCTTAATTTACCCAACTTCCTAAAGAAAAGGAGTCAGTTACTATCATTGTTTTTGCTGGGGACTCAGAGGCAGGTAAGGCTGTGGAAATGTTTTGTGCAAACAGGAAAGACTTTAGGCATTTTCTCTGATTGGGCATTGTTGGAATGAGAAGTCACAAACAGATTCCTTACAATGGCGTTTTAGGTGAACTGAGGAAAATACTTGGATTTTTGTGGTTTGGCTGATCCTGAATTGGAGGCAGGGAATCAAAAAAACAAAGCAAGTTCCCAGTGAGTAACCAAGCCCTGACCATTCTCAGCTGACGGCTGCCAAGGCTGTGGTTCAGCTGTGGACTGCTTGCTCGTGAAGTTGAAGTCAGAGTTCTGTTTGTGGTACGTGCTCTGGCCATTTTCTGGTTGTACATTCACATCTGATTTTTCACTTTCTACTTTCTTGAGGATGTCAGGCTTATCATTTTTAAACTAAGAAATATTCTTTGTACTGTGCTATAATCCCTGAAATACTCGTGATTTAGGCAAAGAACTCAATTTCATAAAGCAGATATTATATAGTCCTATAACTAGCATCAAGGTGTCATTTTGTTCCCTTAGAGTGAGATGAATCTCTAGAATACGAAGCACAGGCAATTGAAATTCTGTGCATCTGAGAAACAGCGATTTCTGACCCTGCCCGTCTTGGTGGCTATAGCTGGCCTAGGACTATGATGATCCCTGGCTGTACCTGCCAGAGCCTTTGATCAGCAACAGAGGGTGTGTTGAGAACAGAGTTCTGTGAAATCTATAAGATTCTGACTCCTGAGGAGAGGCCAGCTATTTAGGGAATGGTATCATTATAGCAACTTGGAGTAGGGAGCAAAATTCCTCCCTGCTCCACTCATTTGCTAGGTTGTAGTATAAAGAAAGGGAGCTGAACTGGAAGAGTATGAGACATGCAGCCTCTGCCCAGAACCAGAACCTGGCCAACTGCAAGGAGAGAACACCGATTTCTGGAACTCTGTAGTGTCTCTTAGGGAGTATCCTACTTTCCTAATCACTTACATAATAAAAGCCTCCTGTATTCAGGGATATATTAACACTCCTCAAGATATAATTCCAGTGTTGTTACAATGAAGACTGTGTTATTTGCCCACTTTTAATCTTTTCTACTTCGAAGGAGACCGCAGAAGATCAGCAGTTTGGAGTTAGAGAAAAGCAGGAGGAAGCTGGTGCAGGGGACCATTTGGTGGATTCTCACCTGTGGCTATGATCTGCCAGTGGCTGGGAGGACACTGTCTCATTGGTCCTGTTAGCATCCTTGTGAAATTGGTGTCCTGGGCTTGACAATGATTTTTTTTTAAATGGGTACCGGAGATTGAACAAGCAGGCACTTAGGCCGCTGAGCTAAATTCCCAGCCCCGACGATGACTTTTTACATGAGGGGAATTTCATAGTTAGGGTTAATATTTCCTAAGGTGTCCCATTAATCAGTAAAGAAACTGGTGTTCAAACCCAGGCTTGCCAAAATCCTCATGTTTTGCCTTCTGCTTAGTATCTTCTGTATGGTAATAAGAAAGACAGAAACACATTATGTGAAGATTCTGGACTGGCAGTCCCTGAATATCTAATGAGACTAACATTAGGATTTCAGTCTAACTACAAGGAAACTTGTCATCTGCTTGTACTTTAAGATTTATTTATTGTGATGAAATTCTGGGATTTGATGGAGATGACTGGCAATCTAAAGTTCCGTAAGTGACTTCTAGTCACTGCCATCAGGTTTGGAAACAAAAATCTCTGGAACTTCTGTGCAATGTTTTAATCTATCTTGACCCTTTAAACCATATGTTTAAAAAAATAGTTTTGCATGTCTTTCAGGAAAAAAATGTCTTTTGCCAAATTGAATTAAAAATATGAAGGAAAAAAAGAATCACATGATTATGGAATGACTAATGCAGGATGGTCATTATGACAAGATCTTTTCTTAACTTTTAAGAACAAACATTTTGGTTTATATTGTGAAATACAAACAACAAATATAAAAGATTCTGTGTACCTTTTTCCCTTTATATATTTTCAAAGTGAATTCTAGAAATTAAAATTATTTTTTCCAAAGCAGCCCTAACTGTAGTAGTGACTGTTAAAGTCATTTTTCCCCAGTGAGGCATAAACAACCCAGAATGGCATTCTTGAATTTATTATCATATCTTCCATTGTCTAGACTTTCAATGAACAACAACAAAGAACAGTGATACCAAAGAAGACAATAATATGTTTATTCTGTGGGCATAAATTCATTCTAAAATGACTGATGGTTGTTGCTCTCTTAATGTTGTACTTGGTGACAATATTTTTCTGGCTCTATCTAGGGATATATCATAGAAAGATTGTAAAACTTAGTGTTCTTATTAAAGAGTTCTTGTGCCTGTGATTTTAAAATATTTTTCTCATGCAATATAAACATGCTTGGAAATCATCTGCATTTCCTCTTGAATGAGCAGGACTCACCAGCTGGCAACTGTCAGTGTTGATCAGAGTGTTGATTTCTGTGAGACCTGTCTTTATGCTTTTCTTCTGTTCATGTGTGTGTATAGTCCCTTTGCTAAATGAGAATTAAGGTGCCTCTGCTGCCAAGTGGGACTTAGACACGAGGTATCCGAAAACAGCCAGTAAGTGTGCTGGTTTCTGTCATTATTTGAGGAATATAAAGGTTTGCAAGTCTTTCAGGTAAGACTGGATTTCATCCACAACTTGGCCTTATTTGAGGAGTCTTCAGTGAATCCTGCTATTCTAACGGCACAGAATAATACATAAGGGCCTGAGTCTTCCCTGAAAGCTGACTGCCTTTCAGTTCCCAGCAAGAGCAGTGATTCAGACAGGTGAAGGCCTTAGTACGGCTGAGACTTACTGATGCCTCGTAAGGCCTAGTTTCAATAGCCTATTCCTCCAGGCTACTGATGAGATCTGGCAGTTTTTGAAAAACAACCACAAATATCTTTGTGAAACACTGAAACAAATATGTGGCTTTTACCAATTAGTCACATCAGTATTTGGAACTGTCATATCTTTTCTCTTAGGACAATGAAATGATGAAAAAAGATTATTGAATGTGATTTTACTTGATCCGAACGCCCCTGAGTGACCTGAAGAAGCAAAGTTTTAAAAATAGGGCTTATGAGGCATATCAATGTAGCTTCATGACCCAAACTGACTCATAAATTGTGATTTCTGACAGAAATCTGGCTTAACACATGTCCTGACTTTCTAATTCGAGGCTAGAGCCCACCTATATTCTGCAGTAGTGCAATTGTGGGGCCATATACTACAACTCTGAGTTGCAATGAGCTGGATTGCAGAGCAGATTTAGCTAGTGTTAGTTTTAAAGAAATGAATGTTCTAAATAAATCTTAAATTTCATTTCCTGCCTATAATATGTCATATGGAGTTTTCATGTTGGTAAAAAGCTAGAAGTTGCAGACATAGTCAAGCAACTGCTGTATCAATCATGTGTGCATTAAAGTCCATATCTAAGAATAATACAGCAAAACTGTGTGATAGATTTAGCTAAAAATAGACATCAACACTTGTTCTTTTATCTGCACACATAAAAACCCTTTCATCTGTCATGGCGCACACTGCCAGTTGTGTTGGCATCTTATTTTTGCAAATCATACAATATACTTCTTTCAAATGTTAACAATGGTTAATTGCAGTACACAGTATTATTGTGTGGGCTGTAATTTTTTTCACAGTCTATAACTAGGTAATCTATTTGAGATGAAAGAAGTCACTGCCAAATGTTTATCTAAAAGATAGTGTGATTACTTTGATAGTTAGTTTATGAAGTAAAATTTCTTTCATTTTGCAATAAGCAGAATTTCCATTGTACTTTTGCAGAATAGAAAGCATATCAAATTATTCTTAGATGATCAGAATTCTTTTTTGTGTCTGTGAAACTTAAACTTTCTCAATTTCAAAGGTCTGGCAATAAGAATAATGCATATACATACAAAAAATAAGGACATCATTTTACTTTGCAGAAATAGAGTGATAAAAGTTTGCAGAATTTGGAGCAGCTTCTACTGCCTGGCTGCTGTTCTGCTCGGTGAACTCAAAGAACACAGTGCTTCAG